AGGCGCTTCCGAATTCCATCTTTATCTTTGATGACGTGGCATGCGACAAGCAGGACGCGATAAGAGAGTACTTTGCAATGGGACGGCACGCGGACGTCGATTGCTTCTATCTCTGCCAGACGTACGCAAAGATACCCAAGCACCTTGTCCGCGACAATGCAAATCTATTGATCCTATTCAAACAGGATGGTACCAATCTGAAAGGCGTGTACAACGATCACGTGAATACCGACATGCCGTACGAGAATTTCTGCGATTTATGTCGTAAATGTTGGCAGCAAAAGTATGGATTTTTAGTAATTGACAAGGACAGTGCGCTTACCGATGGGCGATACAGAAAAGGATTTAATGACTTTGCAATGCCGTGATGCGATCAGTTGACATCGATACGTTGACATGGACAACAGCAAAGATCGTGAGAAGGTAGCGAAGGAGATTGCGAAAACGAGTGATTCGATTCGCAAAAAATACCGCGCTTTAAAGACTGGTAAAATGGATGAGGACATCGCATTGGAGAGACACTTCAAACCTATTGTCGACCCGCTGAAACAGATTGTCGAAAACACCGCTGACTCATCCAAGGATCCAATCATGACCGAAACAATCTTTTCGAGAGAAGACGAGGAACCAAAACCCAAAAGGAAACGACCGAGTGCTTTGTACGACAATCCTATACAGGCTTCCACGCCTGTAAAATCAATGTTGAATCGATCGAAAACCTTACCATCCGCTTTGAATGAAATGTCTGAAATAATACAATCGCATGAGTTATCGCACGACCATGTTCCCTCCGTCGAAGAAATATTTGAGGTTACTGATGAACCGCTCGTGACATCTATTCGACACCTGCTTCAAACATCTGAGGGTCAGGAAAAGTTGCAAACAAACTACGGTCCGTTAGGACAGAATATATGAAAGCGGTCCTGAGCGGTAAGAAAGCCGTCAACATAGACGTTGTGTACGGAGTTTATTTCAACGACGAGGGAACGATGCTCGGTGACAAACGTATCACCTTGCACAAAAATGATGATATAATTATAGATGGGAAAAGATATGATGGAACAGCGGGTCTGTACGAGTTAATTTTCATGAAATTTCCCAACGAAAGTATCTGTACGGATGACGACGTACACACCTACAGAAGCATTCTGCTGACGACAAACGCTCACAGACGCGGTCATAGCCCGAGTAATCAAGTAATGGGTAGTAAGGGATACAAGTATAAGAACATAATAGCGCCATTGGTGTTGGATAAAAAAGTTGGAACGGGAATTAACAAAAGAGTGGATTTACCGCGTACAATGACACAAAACGATAACAAGATCGACTATATCCATTGGGACGATCCCAACGAAATTGTAGATCGTCTGCGATTACTCGAGGCCTCGCGCCAGGCCGGTCATAATGGTCACGACAACGAGATTTTGTCGATTATCGAAGAGCTTCGCGAAGCCGGTCTGATTATAAATTAACCTCGTTCTACGCACATCGTTCAGTCGACATCATAATGCCGATCAACAAGTTTGGACTATCGCTTGGAGGAGGAAGCGAATCATACTATCAGTGGCGTGGATTGCTCAGAAATTACGTGCGCGATAACGCTCTTTGTCTAGTCGCAGCAGACTTTGACGCAAAGTCGCGCAAAATTCGACGAGTAGCGTTACCGGTAGATGATGCTGACGCAGCAAACAAGCGATAAGTGCAGCAGAGTGTTCAAGATTTGAAAGATCGTCTGAACGAAATCGAGAGGAAGATTACAGTCTTACAAAATAATGTACAGGTTTTGCTAAAAGAATTTGAAAAGGCGATTCGAGAAGTACATCGTGCCGAATAATTATTCGCAATGTCTGAGAAACGGCTGCTGGTTAATGAATTGCACGCTCCGGCGAGAAGAAATTTTTCGC